AATCCACACGAAAATCCTCCTGAAATTTGCTGGGAAGCGGAACAGTCGGGTCGCCCCAACGCGAGAGCCAATCTGCGTCGTCATTCTTTTCGCCAGCGACATGGCCGACATCAAGTTCAATGCCTGTGAGACATGCCAACATACACAGCCTCTTCAGGAACGCTGAAAGTGGAAAGTGAGAGCTGTAAAGCTTGTTAATGCCAGCCTCTGCGCCTGTGTTATCTGAGAGCGTCCTCATGCGTACGACCCAGCGAGCTGAAGGGACCACAGAACGCAGGCAAAGCATGAGGCCGAGCTGTGCCAAGGCCTCATAACACGTAATGTCACGATGGGCCGGGCGCTGAAGAGGTAAGCCAGGGACTGCCAGATCGTCCAGAGTCCAGGTCTCGCTGAACCAAGTGCAAGGAACCTCTTCCCACTGTATGAAACCACCTATGCCTATCAAATCCCCATCAGCCCTGGCATCGGCGGCGGCTAAAACCACGAGGGCTGCTGGAGGCTTCTGCAGAGGGAAGTAAAGCGGTGGCAAATCACACCACTGAAGCCAAAAGGGGCGTGTGGTGGAGGGATCCGTGATGCGCATCCAAATTCTTTTCGACGTGGGAACCTTGGCTAAATCTCTTTTGCTGGACAAAGCCATATGGCGAGCTCTAGAAGTCGACTCCCTGGGGCGATGGCCGTGCCAGGAGGATTAGCGACAAAGACCAGACTGTCGCTGAGAAACAAAGCCAAACCTGGCCAATCGCCTGGAGCAATGCTGTGATTGGTAGCCAGTGGCCTGTTGGCATCTGCGTAGAGAGGCTGAAGCCAGGGTTTGAAGGAACGGAAAAGCTTGCAAAGCCACTGAAGCAAACCCAGAATCTTGTCCATGGTCCTACGATGGACATGGCGTCCAGCAAGAGCCTCCTGGAGCAAACGCTTGAGCTTGAGGGCCTTGTCCAGTGGCACGCAAAACGTGCCGCTACCAAAGCCAAAATGCCAGCCTATCCAGACTATGCTCCTACCAAGTTGCAATTTGGCATGTGAAATGGGGATGCCGAACATGGCGCAGCAGGCAAGGACAAGGCAGGAGAGGGCTATGACATCCTGGTCCTGAACCAAGAGGAAGTCATCCACGTAGGCCAAGAGTGCATGGCGCAGCCAAATCCAAAGGTGCAAAGTTCTAATGAAGAAACTGCCAAGGCGCTGAAACCAAATTGCGGAAAAGTTGGCGCCAAAGGGACAGACTTGGTAGAACAGGTACCTGGAGCCAGAGCCATCGGCGGATGGGAGTGTCACGCCTAAGAGGCCCTGATCGGCTGGACGGACTCGCACAGTTTTGTGAGCCGATTTGACGTCCAAAGCAAAGCCAGCCAACTTGCCCGCGTGCATCCTCAAGGGAAAGCACTCACGCACGTCATCCACCGAAGGCAAAGCAAATGTCTCTGGTATGAGACAGGAGGGATTCGTCCCGCAGACTGTCGAGTCAACGACAAGGCGTGGCTTTTTGCCAGGAGCGCTGACTATGGACGTCTTGCCAATGGCAAGTTTAGAGCCAAAGCGCGCTTGGGCCGAGGCCAAAGAATCCATCTCGAAAAGCCAGCCCTTTTCCAGCTCCTCCTCCACCAGAGCTCTCAAAGTCTCTGGGTCGGCCTCTGCACTGCTCCAATTGCCATGGCAAATGGCAATCTCTTGAGCAAAGGGGTGGCCAGCACAAGCACATTGGACAAAGGTATGTCTGCGTCAAAGCCAGTCGGCACTCCAGACAGCAGGCAAGGGAAGAGGGTGGTATCCCTGTCTGAAGTGAGGGCCGAGACAAGTTGCAAAGCCTCAAGGCAGTAAGGTTGCCCCTCGGCTGCAGACCAAGAGACTTGCCTGGGCCCAGGAAGCGACTGAAGCCAGAGCTCGAAGATGCCACGGAGAGAACTGACCTCTGAAGGCTGAAAGAGCGCCTCTGATGATTGCAGGTCACACAGGTAACGCAGACGACCTGGGAGCCGATTGCGAAGCAGAAAGTCCAACAGTCTAGGACGGAGTCCGGCAAAGACGTCTTTGGCGTCTGGCGGAGGCACACTCCAGTCAGGGACTGAGAAAATCCCAGCGCCGTCTTGCACTGACACAGGCGGCTCTGAGGGTGTCTTCAACCGAGAGAGCAAAGGGGCCGAGTCCAAAGAAATGCGGCTCCCAGAAGCTGATGAAAAAGGCTTTTTACTTGCTGTGCGTAGCGCTGGGCCAAGATGTCAGGATACTCAGCAGAGGCACGACTACGGAAGCCACCTGAGGAATCCCTTGTGCCCCTGATATCCTCATGGCTGCCACGAGGATGCTCACAAATGCAAGCGAGGGCCTGCAAAGGACGAAAGCAGGTTGCAAAAAGCCAAGACTTGTGCATGTTGAGACCCACCGAGCATGCAGAAACATTTACCAGATCGGCCTGGATCTCACGCAGGAAATGCGAGGCCAAAGGCTCCAGCCATGCCATGCTGTTGGCTGTTCAAGCCCGCCAGAAGAGAAAGTCACGAAAAGCAGCTGAACGCAGCGTGTGAAACCAAATGACTTTCCTGTACTTTAAGAGCATCTGCAGGGCAAAGGCCAGGTATGCCATTCAGGGCTTCTGGTGTACGTAGCGCCCTGGGCCCATTGGGAAGGAGCT